GTTATACAACGCATGGTACTAATATTGACGGTAAGACCCTTTGACACTTCGCATGCTTTTGTGACCTGAAAACCAAAATAGAAAAAAAATAATCAAGAGAAAAGAAAATCAAAACCTTTTAAAAGAATAGATAGCGTATGTTTTATTGAGGTCTCAGGTCAACTTTGACAGTTCGTAAGGGTCAGCTTCAAAAACCTTACTTTTGTAGCAGCCCAGAGAGAACGGGAGCAAAAATACACAAATGTTGTTTGGAAAGGGAGGCACGTGACCTCAGTTAGAGTAATATAACCCACAGGGAGTTTTCCTTTGATGTGATAGCCATCACCAGCTAAAGGTTCTCGAGTTAGATCTCATTTGCTTATACAGGGCATATCGACAGTTAAGTTTTTTTCTTCTTTTTTCTATTGACTTCCTCTTTCCATAAAATCAAAATATAAAGCACCCGTTACCCTCAACAAGTTTTAATAAATTTTAGGAAATCTATAAACTATTATCTAACGATTGTCTAGCAGGTTTATAAATGTTTTCAACCCAGAAAAAACGCAAGCAAAAATACACAATACACCTCCAGGGAGGCACGCGATATATATCTATATATATATATATATAGATATATATATAAATACCTAACCACTCTGAATGATAAGTTGACAAGAATTTTTAAATAAAAAAATTAACACTTTTTCCTCGGATAATGTCGTGCAATCATGCAAATTTAAACATTCATATAACACATAGTACTAATATTGACCGTAAGACCCTTTGAAACTTTTCATTGTTTTGTGACTTGAAATCCAAAATACAAAAAAAAAAATGAAAACCTTTTAAGAAAAAAAAGCGTATGCATCTTGAGGTCTCAGGTCAACTTTGACACAAACCTTACTTTTGTAACAAGTCTTTAAATATATAATGTAACGGCTATCTAGCAGGTTTAAATATGATCGTGAACCAGAAAAAAAAAACGAGCGAAAATACACAATTGCTATTTCGAAAGGGAGGCACGTGACCTAGAGTTAGAGTAACATCTCCCACAGGGATTTTTCATTTTGATGTGATAAACATCACCAGATCATAGGCTTCTCGACTGGGACCTTATTTGCTTGTACAGGGCATATCGGCAATTAAGTTTTTTTTCTTTTTCGTAATAGATTCCTTGCTCGATAAAATTAAAATATAAAACACCTGCTACTCTCAACTAGTTTGAATCAATATTTCGGTGCAAACTCCGTCAAAAAATCTATAAGGATAGCTTTATTTAATGTCTCAAAACATGAGAGCAGACGCTTAGTCTCCCGAGCCAAAGGCTTGTTATAAAAACGCTCGACAAAACCTAAATTTAAACAATGTGTAAATTGATAAACGACATAGATTGAACATGTAAGCTATAATTTACAATTATTCGCCGAAGTGGAGGTACATGTAAATATCTACCACTTTTACTGACACTAAGGTGAATTCACGTTTGTATATACTACACAGAAACCAGAAAGAGTAGTTTATTCTTATCAATATACAAAAAAATAGTCAGAAATTAAATTGTTGACGCCCGATATTGTCTGTTCGGCTGCTCGGAGAAAGCAACTTTTGCTAATCAATTCTGAGCCAGAACATAAGGGTGCGTGACAAGCACTATTCA